GTTTGTCAAGGCATACAAACAGTCAGTGATGAATGAAATAAAACAACTATTCGGTCTACTATTCAAAACGGGTCTTTCCAAAGGTTTGTTAATCAGCTAACAACATTTCTAAATGTCTGATGATGAAACACGTGCAGGACTTCTGCTCTCCATAATGGCGTTTCCAAAAGCTCTCCATAATGGCGTTTCCAAAAGTACATTCAAATGGACAGTTGTCAAGTAGTTTTCCCCATGTACGAGTGTCGTCCATTATACTTGTCTCAGTGACTCGCTCTGCCAGCAAAGGGTGATTCTTATCAAATCGCCTGCTGCGCCTCACACTGCTGAAAACACTCGTCTTGAAGGTGGTCCTCGTTGGAAAGAGGCAGGTGAACCAGAGGTTAATGCAATCTTGAAATTAGAATACGCCACCCCCCACACTTCTCTATACACTGCGATACACTTGCGGTTAGTGCGGTTTGCTCCAAACTGCCCTCTTTCACATGCTTTTCCGTTGGTATCTGGATTACTGCGTGATGGAGTCGCAGTTTTAATCTTTGGCTCGCCCACTTCGGCGCACGCCACACCCACCATGAGCGGGGTTCACTTTACTCATGTATGTCTCGTACATATCCCTCCTATCAATCTGACCTAAAACCCACTTGATTTCCTAACAGTGTCGATCTCATGATGAGGACACATATAAGTGACAACAGGAATTAGCCTTAAGTGAGTACCCAGTCTCGTTCGCATGTCAGGGTGTTTCCCACGGTTGTGGAAAGTGGCAAGCGGGTGCATTTGGTCGAAAAACGGGCTGGGGCCGCGCCAAACCCAGACCTCTAACACGCCGCAGCATCCGCAACGAACAAGACTGTACGATTCTCGATTTTCAGTTCACAACAAGGAGGAAATTCCCAGTTACGAATTCCCGTGGGAGGATCGCCAATCTTCGCCCGCCTGGCAGACCGATTCCTTCCACTTTTTCCCACAAAATCGCCTTTGTACCTTTATCGAAGCGTGGTTTTGCAATCACCCCGTCTTTACTTCTGCCAATCCTATGATATACAGGATTTTGCGCTGTGCCTCGGAATAGCTGATTTCCTGAAAATCAGTGGTCATGCTCTTCTGAGAAAGTGGAATGACCTTTGAAAACGTGTGATGTGGTCTCATAGATGTTCAGGTCTCACGAGTGTTATGCATGAGATTGTACGCCATATCAGCCAACTGCAAATGGATGTGCAAGATGGATTGATGAAGGAGTTGTACATGATTTTGAACGGGTTTGTCACTCAATTCATCTTAATTTCAGTTGAAATCAATCAAAACCCATTTTAGGTTGTGTTCTACCGAGTAAGCTCGATCCACCGAAAAAGCCGGCTCTCCCTTCGCAAACGTTACAGGTCATAACTTTTTTTGCGAATTTCATAGACAGCGTTCTGGAAATGCCTGCTGGATAAGTATTCGTTTTCGACCTTTCGAATTTGCAGGTGTCAAATGTTCCCCTCACGATACTAGCATTGGATACACTTGGCGAATTTGATTTTCAAAGACATTACTTGGAGATGTTTATGCAGTTTATTTCCGACGTAAGTTGCTGAATACTGCATGTGGTGGTGCTGATCCGGGGACCACAAGGGTGTTGTTTCAGGGATATCTTTTATGTGATTCTGTAGCGGTGCGATTAGCTGCCGTTAGGTGTTGTGCGGCAATTTCGAAGCCGTTTGTGAAGGTGGGATATACACTGAGATACTCATAACTCTTCGGAGAGCTGATGTTGCATTAAGTGCACTTGCAGTGGTTTAGGTATATGAAAAAGTGCATCGTGAACATCGCCAATGGGTATTAGCTCTTATTCATGGAGTTCTGAGAAGTCTAGTTAGCGCTGGAGTTGTTGATCCTCGTGAGTGCATTAAACATTAAATTTTCTCATCTGTCCTTACTTTTGTTCTTTTCTCTTGCCCTGTTATGTTCATTCTTCTGCAAATCCCGCTCTCTTTTCTTTATTACATATTGTATTTCCCCAAATT